ATGACGTGGTTTTCTGTAATATTGGGGTTTAGGGTTTAGGGTTTAGGGTTTAAGGTTATGGGGGTTATCATAGTATATTTATGACTATGCAAGGGCCATAAGGGAATACTGTTGCTTGTTATTCCGACCCCTCAACCCTAAACCCTAAACAAACCCTAAACCCTATATTACGCAGCACGAAGAGGCTTGGCCAGCACTTCATGAAGCGCACTGTCGGCTCATAGAGCGCGCCTTGCCTCATGGTTCATGGTACCCTAAACCCTAAACCCTAAACCCTAAACCCTAAACCCTAAACCCGCTTATACCCTTGGCGCTACCAAGTGAGCCCTAAAAGGGTTTAGGGCCCATAAACCTCAAAAGGATTATTATGGTGGTATGGGCCACATTGATGTCCATTTTAGGGTTCATGTTTAAGGGGTATAAGGAGGGACCCCTAGAAGGGACCCTTAATCTTATTCAGCTATATAACCCGTATATCCCCCCCCCCCCCTTAGACCGTATAGACTCCCTATGTACCTAAGTCGCCCCTAAATAACCCCTGAGGTCCCTTACCAGTGTCCCTGACATTTGGCCCCCAAGGAACGGTAAGAGTCCGAGTCACGGATCCAGGGCCTCGAATTTAGCCCGGGTTAAAATTGGAGGTTTCAGTTTGAGGTGCTTAGCTTGTGTGTAGGGATGAGAAGTTTCAAAGGGCTTTGTGGGGTTAATAAGGGTTCAGGGTTTAGGTACTGGATTGTCGGTACAACTTGCAACCTACCGTTTTTTCGGACTTCCGAATGAGCTTGCCTGGCAAACGTAACTCGGAAGCTCTAAACCCTAAACCCTACACCCTAAACCCGAAACCCGAAACCCAATTAAACTAAGATCTAAGCCTTTAGCCGCCCCAAGTCCGATGAACGACGTTCGGAAGTTCGACACTCAGAAATCGTGAGCCCAAAACAGTGCAGATCCGTACCAAGCCCGCACCCTGCTTGAAGCCTTTTCGTGCCGCTGAGGAACAGTGCTCTTTGCCACCTCGAGGCGAGGTTTGGGCTTGGGGTATAGGGCCTAGGGCTGTGGGAGGCCTAGCTTAGTGTTCGACCAGTGCTTTTTCGATCCCCCCCCCACAACAGAAAGAGCGGTTCGGCATCCTTTCGGGATTCTACCAGGGTTCCTCTGCCCAACAGTGAGTCTTGTGACCACCCCCCCCCCCCCCCCCCAACAAAGACACAACGCAAACCGAACAGAAGAAGCAAACGCTGGCTCAGGTGCAGAGGTGTGTGTGTGTGTGAGAGAGAGAGAGAGAGAGCGAGAGTGAGTCAGAGTTGCACATGTTTTGCTGAATGCTGGCCGCGCGGCTTTGCCATATCTATGATAATTATATAAGTGCATACATACATCTTATATATACATATATATATAGCACAAAATCGTCAGAATCATAACATATGAGCCCAGAACCATGAGGGGGTGCTGAAGGAAAGGCATGTCCGCCTTGCAGGCACCTCGCCAACTTTGTCCGTCGCTGGTCGGCCGAAAAGGTTGACGCACGCGTCTGATGCCCCGGCGGTGATTGGCGGGGGGGGGAGGGGGAGGGGGGGAGGGGGAGGGGGGGAGGGGGTTTAGGGTTTTAGGGTTTGTAGGGTTTATAGGGTTTATAGGGTTGAAAGGGTTTACAGGGTTTCCAGGAAATATAGGGTTTATAGGGTTTTTAGGGTTTATAGGGTTTATAGGGTTTAAGGTTTACTACCGGAGCCTAAGTATTTACCGCATTCTCCTTGATCACTTGGGTTCCTTTGGAGCCTAATATGTGCCACGTCCTCCTTTAGAACCCCTATACAGCGAAACAAAACAGCCAACATGCCAAGTTTATGTCAGCAGTGATGTTAAGGGTCGAGGGCTCCGTACATTGCAAGGTGACTGGGACGCCACGACTATTCCCTTCGTTCGGGTTGCTTTGCAATCCGCTTCTTCGCCCCTGAGCTTACGCTCTCTTTTTTGGCTGGTGCTTCGCGATGGTGTTGGGTTTAGGGTTTAGGGTTTAGGGTTTAGGGTTTAGGGTTTAGGGTTTAGGGTTTAGGGTTTAGGGTTTAGGGTTTAGGGTTTAGGGTTTAGGGTTTAGGGTTTAGGGTTTAGGGTTTAGGGTTTAGGGTTTAGGGTTAGGTTTAGGGTTTAGGGTTTAGGGTTTAGGGTTTAGGGTTTAGGGTTTAGGGTTTAGGGTTTAGGGTTTAGGGTTTAGGGTTTAGGGTTTAGGGTTTAGGGTTCGGATTCCACCTTCTTCCTTTGTCGGGATTTCTGTTGCCAAAGAACTCTCCCTAGGCTTGACGCATGTTCAGAAGACGCATGGGATGAACACTCGCACCCCTAGGGTTGTACCCCTAAAGGTACCCCTGAACATACTCCTAATAGGGCCCTGGCATTCCCTTAGGGACCCTAAAAAAGGGATCCCAAAAACTCAAGGCTATAACCTTAAGGGCCCAAGGTAGGACTCTATAAAGACCTGCGTCAGTGCTGGTGGTCTTCAACTTTCGTTTTGGTTGTGGAGCACTTAGGGGTTCAGGGTTCTTGAAAGGCCTTAGAGTTTGACGGCTGAAGACCTTAGGGAGTGGCAGTGGTTCCTCTAGAGGGCGTTGGAAGACCGAGCCCCTAAAGCTCTGAACCCCCAAAACCCTACAGTCCCCGATAACCACCCATACTCATTGGTTTCCCTACTAGCAGGGAACCTGGCGGGGGAGGGGGGGGGGGGGCAGTATAGAGGGGGTGTAGTAGGGAACCCATGACAAACCCTAAGCCCCAAACCCCAAACCCTCAACCCTTCTTGCAAAGCATTGCCAGGCTACTGCGCGGACTATGGCTACTTTGACCGCTTCCTTACACCCAACTCCTATGGAGGCACCAGGATTTTTTTCGGTCCAGAGAGGGTTTAGAGGTTTAGGGTTTAGGGTTTAGGGTTTAGGGCATAGGGTTTAGGGTTTAGGGTTTAGGGTTTAGGCAAAGCTCTGGCAGTTGGGGACTCTGGGAGGCTAGGGTTCAGGGTCGAGCAGAGTAGATTCCCAGACACTAGCGCTTGAGAGATTCGGGCCTACACCCGAAACCCTATCAGCGCCCCCCCAACTACCCTTTTACATAAACCCTAAACCCTAAACCCTAAACCCCTAAACCCTAAACCCTAAACCCTTTTACCATAATACTGTAGAAGGGAGTATGAGCCCGCTTGCAGGGTAGTTGGGGGATGCAGGTAACCCTGAAGTTTGGAGATACCAGTTTTCATACAGGATGCAGCAATGGCCGAGCCTTCACTTCCCCAGTAACGCATTCCGCCCAACAGCCTAGCTCGTTTCCTCCTACCGTAGCCGGCTACAACGAAGGCTACCCTACTTAGAGCGCCATTTACAAACACCAGTGAGCCTCCCCCCAAACCCTGTATTTGTTTAGGGTTGTTTTTTGCTTTTGGGTTTTTGGGATGCTCTAGGTCTCTGCGAGGCTGAACAGCTTGCAGGTAGGCCTACCTTTACGTCGCTGGCCAGCTCTCTTTGTTGTTCCACGGCTCCATGTGCGAGTCCGCTTGCAGCTTTAACCCCGAGCGGGGTGGGGCGGGGGCATAGTTCTTTCAATTTTGCGGCTTTTTCAGACTTTGAGGCTCGGTAGTGCTCGGTAGTCAGAATCCAAGCGGCATCTCATGTCGTTTAGGGTTTAGGGTTTAGGGTTTAGGGTTTAGGGTTTAGGGTTTAGGGTTTAGGGTTTAGGGTTTAGGGTTTAGGGTTTAGGGTTTAGGGTTTAGGGTTTAGGGTTTAGGGTTTAGAAAACCTAAGGCCTGTCAACCCTAGAAGCTCAAGCTCGAAACCCCAGACCTCTCCCCGGGCAGGTGGCGAGTACGTAACATTTATCAGCCCATGCCCTGCCAAAGGCAAGGCGTGCTTCTGGACTTCAGGGTTTAGGGTTTAGGGTTTAGTTTAACAAGAAATCAAGGTTAGGGGTTTACCATAAACCCTGAAAACCACAATCGTAGGGCACATGGGGGCTTCCGACATTTGGGTACCTTGTTGTTGGGTCTTCGGGAATCCTACTATTTGAGGGTGTATATTGGGGGCCCCTTATTTTCGTAAACCCCCATGTAAGCCCCCCCTCATTAAAGGGTAGTTGGGGGGGGTGCAGGTAGGGTTCAGGGTTTAGGGCTCAGGGATTAGGGTTTAGGGCTTTAGGGATTTGGATCCTCATTGGCATGCCCTCCGAGCGCTTTAGAGCTACGCCTTGGGGCTGAGGAGTCGAGGTGGGGTTTAGGGCTTCCTTCAGGTTTAGGTTTTAGGGGTCTTTGGAGTGGTTTAGGCTCTAGTTTTGCCCTGAGGGTTTGCAATTAGATCTTTTGTAGGGTTCAGGTATGGGGGGGCTTCCGAACTTTTTCTTGTTTGGGTTTATTTAGGGTTCAAATGTTCCTTTGATTGTTAAGTCTCTGGTATGTTTTGGTTCCTTTCTTCCCTTCTCTTCCTGAGACTCTGAGTCTCAGACTCTGAGTTGTGTGTGGGGTTTCTTGCTATGGGTCTGCCTCTGCCTAAACCCCTAAGCCCTAAACCCTAAACTCCAGGTTTTAGGGTTTAGGGTCTCGGCTTTAGGGCTTATGGTATGGGGTTTAGGGGGTTAGGGTTTCTGCGTAGCTCAGGGTGGTGGGTTTAGGGTTTAGGGTTTTGGGTCTGACCCCACTCCGGACACCCTGGCGTGTCAGCGCAGGGCTTTCCATTTTCCTCCGCCTTGCCCAAGACCTGCCTACGGCCACTTGGCATTTATTAAGGTGTTTGGGGGCGGGGGGTTACTGTAGTGGATATCATAAATTTGTAGGGGTCACATATGGCCTTCCTTGAATAGGGCAAATAGAATGGGTAACTAGCTGGGGGACGAGTTTAGAGCAATTTCTTGGACTAGGGACAATGTTCGTCACCCGAATGAAGCAGTTTCCACGGATGCGTTCTCAGGCGCAGCAGCTCTGGTTTACTAAAGGCTGCGTAGGGCCTCTTCTGCATGAGAGGATGTCTCTTTGCTGCAGCAGCTTGGTTCTGGCGCCTCTGGCCAAGTGCACCGCGAAGTTAATCGCTAACACTGCTAGCAGAAATGACCCTGTAGCATCCGGTTTTGCTTTCCAGGTATTCAAGACAGCGTCGCGGGGTGCTGCCTTCGCTGTGAAGATCCAGAGGAAGCAGCGTGTCAGCTTGTGGGCGGCTGAAGAAGGTATTCCATGTGTCAGGAAAATGCGAAACGCAACAGATCCAGCCACGACTTAAGTTTTGATGTTTGACGTTTTAGCAACAACAAGGTGACAGCTGGATCTGGAGATTGCAGCCCTTCGGGCTGCAACTCATGTTAAGGACAGCGCACCATGTCTCTCTGCAGCGAAGCATTCAGCGACTCAGACATTCCCAGAGGACAGCTTTGTCGTTGAATGCTTGGACGTGGTCCATGACGAAGCCTTGATGCGGCGCACTGACGTATCTGGAACATGTACACGCTGCCACAAGCGTTCCTCTTGCGAAAGTGCGCAGGAAATTTACGCTGTTGTATGTTTTCTCGTGCCGTCGCAGCCATCTATTCTATTCCACATGCGAGCATGCAAAACAGGTATATTCATGCCGTAAATCACACCACGTTTGTTTTTGCGCATCACTTCCCAAAACGTGCTGATAGGCCCCAGCTGTCCGCATGCACCTACAACCCACGGAGGTGCACCTGGTCATGGCCCCGAGTGATTTCAGCGACTTTGAGGCTGGCCGACTTGGGAGGAAGGCGCGTCGGCAGATTCCCAGCCAAGCTCGAGTCTAGTTGCTCTGGCGGCCAACTCGGAAACGATGCTTTCCTTGCAGTCAGGTTGGAACTTGCTGTCCTCTTTGGAGGCAGCCCGTTTCCGCTGGCTCACTGGATGTCATTCGGATGTCCAGTGCAAAGTTCGGCATCCTTCGGGTGTGGTGCGTCCGTCGTCGCTCCCATCCTTGCGCCGGACGCTGCTCGTAGCTTATCTTCTGGCGGTGGCAGGCGCCTGCGTCCCTTGCATCCTACAGAGCCCGTCGGGGGAGCTCCAGAAAACGCCTGACAATCTGGCACTTCCACCGGCTAAGGCCGGAGTTGTTCTGCGTCGTCTGGTTCAGGGGCAGCGTCGTTTCGGTCGCACGCTTAACATCACTGAACCGTCTGGTCCCATCTGCAAATCAAAAGGCTGGTGCCCAAATTGTCGAGGTGACAAGCGTGAGATACTTGGCGAGCTGGGCGAAGGGTCTTTTGGAAAGGCTGGCGGAATAAATGGGCGCAAAAAGAAAGTTATAATAAGGCCCCCATGAATGCAGTATATTGTACTCTTTCTCACTCATAATAAAAATATAAGAGTAAGCGAAAGAAGACCGCGCACTAAGAGCCTTAATTTTCTAGTTAATTTCATGCATCATTCATTCCTTGAAAATTCAATTGAAAATTGTAAGGTCTGTTGGTACTGCATTAGCGGGCGAGAGAAAAGAGTATTATTTGCGCGCGTGTCTCGTTCATTCATTCATTTTATTCACGCGCTTCTTTTCACGTCGCTCTTCACAAAAAGTCCTATATTTTAATTGAAAAGCAGTGAAGATATAAATACGGGCGGAAAGAAGAAGCCTGTGCAAATAATGCTAAAGGAGAAGGCGCGTATTTCATTCTCGCATTCGCTTCGTTTCTTCGTTCATATATGCACTCAGAAACTCATAGTTTTATTATAAATAATAGAGCGTGCTATATGGTGGAGAATGTGCGATTGTTGAAGGCCAGGGCCCGAACACTCTTTGCTTGGTGCCTGTTGATGTAATGGCCATGTGCAATTACAATCTAGCGTGTGTCTCAATTGATAATACTCGGATGGGAAAACCAATGACGCCGAGTTCGGGTATGGGCGAGCAGAGGCCTACATGCCTGCCCTATGCCAGTCAGAAATCGAGCCACACACACATGGAAAAGCCTGAAAGGCTGGTCTGGGCGAGCTGCTCTATTGTAGGCATGCTCTACGCACCTCCGACAACAGCTGGTGAAGCTGCGTGGAGGAAGATGAGATGTTGGGCAACGCGAGGGAGGGGGGGGGGGGGTTCCCTTGGGGGTGGGAGCGTACCAACCCTGGACACAGTATATTTAGCGGACTCCAGAAGTGCCCATAGTCTAAGTCTAAAACATTCTAAAACAATCCCCACGCAGACAGAAGCACTTCCGGGTCCACTCACCAGCATATACCAATCGGCTAATTGGCAGGTGCGACAAGCTCGAGTTCGCGCAAGCCCCAACTTGACGGCCGCTGTGAAGATCATGAAGGCAGAATAAACCAGAATAAGCCATTTGCGGGCCCGACCAAGCCGAACTCATCCAGCAGGGGAAGGTACCAAAGTCATCCCTCACTTAGATGACGTGGCAATTCGCCAACAACATGGTGTGTTCCCCGCTACCTTTATGACTAGGCGCCAGCTGAGTGCCGCGGTCATACCAGTCATGGGGCGGGCGAGTTGCGAGTGAGAACCACGTGTCATGCTCACGTGCTTTTGCGACCTGGCGACAGTTCTGCGCTGCATTCTCTTCGCAGTTGCGTGCCAGACGTGCCATGCGCACATACCATCTCATACCAGTAATGGAGTGGGTGGGTTGTGAGCGAGACCATTTTGTCACTTCTATGTGGTAGTTCTGGGGGCGGGCGGGTCCCGGTGTGGATGTGAGGCGGAGTTGTAGGAGCTACAGGAAGTTCTCCATCCTAACCAACCGCCCACAGACCACCGAATCATGGGTGAACAACAAGGGGCTGCAGATCTTATTGGCCGCGCAGAGCAGCTCATGGACTTCAGGCTGACTTTCGAGCATGTGTCGCGCTTGACTGGTGGGACAGGGGCTACTTGTCAGTCGCAGGTTTGACTTGGCATGGGTGCCGGGGCCGGAGACCGACCTGTCGCCTGTGGGTGCCCAAAGACTTCTGCAACGCCGGTCATGCTGCAATACCGGCAACACTGGCACCAGCTAACGCGAGCTTTAGAAGACCGCAGGCTGCAGCAGAAAAATCTGCCCCACGAGTGTGACTTTGGGGCCATTCTGGGAGACCTGCCAATGGCAATGTAATCAGACTCTGATCTCCTTGATTTCTATCTATTTTAAGCATGCAGCTCCGTTGTGCTTCTAAACCTAAAAACCACAAGCCCCCCAAACCACCTAAACCCCTTGAACTACCCTGGGATCTGTGCTATTCCACAACATAGGAAACTGTAGGTAAAGAGGTCCCAGGTAAGCCCCAAGCCAAAACCCTGCTTTGAAATCCATTCCCCATTTTCTGGTGATTTCGATCTCAGGCAGGCATTAAACCAAAGCCCATACTCGTGAGTCGGCGTGGGGTATCAGTCAACACTCCGGTATGTGTTTGCAAGACTCAGGGCAGCATGAGGCTGTTAAGGATCTAGGGAAGCCATAAGGCCCAATGTGAACCCTAAACTCTAAACCCTAAACCCTAAACCCTAAACCCTAAACCCTAAACCCTAAACCCTAAACCCTAAACCCTAAACCCTAAACCCTAAACCCTAAACCCTAAAACCTAAACACTAAACCCTAAACCCTAAACCCTAAACCCTAAACCCTAAACCCTAAACCCTAAACCCTAAACCCTAAACCCTAAACCCTAAACCCTAAACCCTAAACCCTAAACCCTAAACCCTAAACCCTAAACCCTAAACCCTAAACCCCAAACTAAACCCTAAACTCTACACAAACTTAGTTCAAACTCAAAGTTGGCAATCCTGTCCCTGTGATTCCTCATCCCTGCGTCACATTCAAAGTTGCAAATCTGGCCCTGCCTACCCACAGGGCCCATGTACCTAAACAGGGAATACTTGGGCCTTCCAGTACCTCCTATATAAGAATGTTGGGGCCCAAGTATACAATAATGAGGTACATGGACCCTTAAACCCTAAACCCCAAACCCTAAACCCCAAAACCCTAAACCCTAAACCCTAAACCCTCTCAGGCCTAAAGACCGGTCGTTCCACTTACTGGTGCTTATAAGGGAGACTGGGGGAGCGACTAGGCGCGATGTTTCGGGGTCAATATGGGGATCGCCCTGAACCCGCAACCCTAAACCCTAAACCCTGCCCCCTAGACCCTAGACCCTAAACTCCAAACCCCAAACCCTAAACCCTGAACCCTAAACCCTAGAAGCCCTAAACTTCTCCTTAAGCGCACCCTTTCGCCAGCGTCCGAGGTTCGTTTCCGGGCGGTCACTACTGTGTGGACCAAGGCCTTGGTCAGGGTTTACGGTTTAGGGTTTACGGTTTGGGGTTGAGGGTTGAGGGTTTAGGGTTTAGGGTTTAGGGTTAATGTTGGACCTGCTTCATGTGCCCCCCCCCCCCCCCCAAGAACAGTCGAAGCTGGCTTTCGCTTTGTTTATACGGTCTGCAGGTTGTATATGATTTTGGTAGGGAAGTGTATACGTATTACTTTAAAAGGGATGGCGATGCCCGGCAATTGATGTCAAAGGCGCGCCGCACGGAATTTCCGGACGGCGCCCGGACGATTTGACTCAATTGCGGACCACACTCAGCACCCGAACAGTCAGGGTGCCCTGAACTTTGTCATAGTTGAGGACCATTTTGCATTTTTAAAGGTACTTAAACCCAATAAGGAATAAACATTTTTTTTAATATTAACCCAACCATGAACCAGTGAAAAGCCCGGCCAACATGACTTAGTTCCAGCTGAAGTCTGCCAGAGCTGGCGGCAGATTTTGCAAATCTAGGACCCAGACTAGGCCCTTGTTCCCTCATTTTTTAAGGCTTGTGTATGTGTGTGCATATGTCACTGAAGGACCCAGACTAGGCCCTTATCCTAAGGGCTCAGAGTCCCCTGTAAGCCCCTGAAAAGCAAAAAGGGTCATTCTCTTGTTCCTATAGGTTACTCTTGGGTCTAGAGATTAATCGACATCGGTTGTAAGCTCCTTCACCCTATATGCTAAACACTGAAAATCTCAGCGCGGGTGGCCAGGTTTCGGGTTCAGGGCTGAGGGTTCAAGATGTAGGTTTTTCAGGGCTCTATCATTTTGTTGCCGCCGGACTTGGCGTGCACTGAATAAATCGTTATTGTAACATGATGCCCCCCCCTATGTCATGCCTAATTCAGAATCCAACCCACAACATGTTTCTGGACGTGGAAGCCCCAAACCCTGAACATAGCGGCGGACTTGGCATCAGGCCACCAAA